GTTGTGGAGAAGGGGATGCTGTTAAAACAAAATATCGTTGATTGTTAAATATAGCTGCTCCTGTTCCGCCTTTAGCTCCATCCGTAAATACGGTAACTGCCCCTTGAATTGGATCCCTTCGCACCTTCTGCACCCGTTTTATTGAAACCTGTGTGCAGAAGTTAACAAATGGATGGCGAGGGTAGTGATTGTCAATCTCTATTTGTAGAATGAGAACTATGTATGCCCATTGCCAGCATTCCCTTGTAAAGGCTTCTACTGCCTCTTGAGCAAAGGGAACTACACATCGCTTTGGAGTCTTCCCCGCCATTTCTGTCGCCTTTTTTATTGCTGTTAATATTAAATCAGCCACCGCAATGCCTTGGGTGTATAGTACACGCGGTGCATGTGAATGTGGGTATACAAACAACAAGGGTCCTCCTTGCCAAATGACTGCGAAGGGATACAGCTGTTCCATAAAAATTAATATTTCTAGGGCTTGTTGTGGATCACATCTTTCCATCTGCATTGCTTTAATTTGTTTTTCAATTTTCTGTAACGCCAAGCGGGCTTCTATTGTCAATCTACGAGGGGAATCAAGCTGGGCATCTCCTTCTAAAATATTGAATAATGGCATCATATCTTCGGTAGTTAATTTACAATAGGGCCTCAACCAATTTAAATTGCCACATAATTTTTGGAAGTCATTAAGGGTCTGTAACCCATCTATTGCAATTTCAAATTCTAATGGGGTTACCTTTTCAGAAGTTACTTTAAGTCCTAAGTACTGTACTACTTCCCCTTTTTGTATCTTCTCTGGCGCTACTTGTAACCCAACTTTTTCCAAATATAATAGCAGCAGCTTATATGCTTCCATTAGGTGACTTTCACTTTCAGCCGTTATTAACAAGTCATCCATGTAGTGTAAAATTTGTACTTTTGGGCACTGTTGTCGAACCGGCTCTACTGCCTGGTCAACATATAGCTGGCATATGGCAGGACTGTTGGTCATTCCTTGGGGAAGCACCTTCCATTCATATCTTTTGTCGGGACCTTGATGATTAATGGAAGGTACGGTGAAAGCAAACCTCTGAGTGTCTTGTTCATGTAGAGGTATGCTAAAAAAGCAGTCCTTCAGATCGAGTACTATTAGTGGCCAATGCTTTGGGATCATAGTAGGAACCGGGAGTCCGGGTTGCAATGCCTCCATGGGTTGCATCTGCTGATTAACAGCCCGTAAATCATGCAACAACCGGTATTTCCCTGATTTTTTCTTTATCACGAATATTGGCGTATTCCATGGGGAGGTTGATGGTTGCAAATGGCCTGCCTCTAATTGTTGTGATACTATATCATTTACCGCAGCCAACTTTTCCTGGGTAAGGGGCCACTGTGGTATCCACTTTGGCTTGTTGTCCAGCCATGACAATGGCAGCGGCTGCATCTCAGTGGCCCCCACGAAAAACCCGTGTCCTGTCTTTTGAAATCGCCTTTGGGCTGGGCTAGGTCCCTTCTGCCTTCTCTGGAGCCTAATCCTCTCTCCTGATATCCCTTTTTATACATAATACGCCGTTCTGTAGAACTCTCCAATTGATCCTCATTTGTTAACGTCAGTCCCAATTGTTCTAAAATGTCTCTTCCCCATAATGTGATGGGGAGTGCACTAACATAAGGTTGCACATTTCCCTTGTTCCCTTCTTGATCCTGCCAATGAAGCACCTGAGCGCTCCTTGATGGTGTCATGGCCGCACCTAGGCCTACTAAAGTATTATCTCCTGGCTGAAGGGGCCATGACTTCGGCCAATCATTTTCCGAAATTATACTTACATCCGCACCTGTGTCTAGCAGGCCCTGAATCGACTTTCCTCTAATGGTTAAGGTCCACAGAGGTCGATCTGCTAGAGATAGGGACAAGGCTGCAAATTTCTCCCCTTGGGGTCCATGAACGTCCTGCGCTCCAATCATGATCAGTATTTGAGCCACAGGTTCTTCTGGTTTGACTTGAATAATACCCTTTGTAGATTGTATTAGCACTTTTAACTTATCACAAGGTAATTGAATGACTCCGGTGATGACCATTAGGCCTCTCAAAGCATTTGTTTCTTTTCCTACGATTATTCCAAGTCCGTTATGCTCCGCTGAAATTGTTTCTGCCCTCACCTCTATGGCTTGTGGCCCCATTTGAGGTGTCAGTACCGAATATTCGGTGGCTCGTAACTCTGCGCGGTAAATATTTGGTTTTGGGACCGTGGCACCCACCGATTGTTTTGGCCCCGGGGTGCAGGGGCCCACATTCCGTTTTTTTGCTGTTGACCATATACACCTGATCTTCTTATGGGGCCCGGCTCATTTGGCATCCTCTGGGGATTGCCTGCGCTGTTTATTTTAAAGTAACATTCACTGACCCAATGATTTCCTCTTCTACAGCGTGGGCAAAGGCCTGGTCTTCTCGAGTTCTCTATGCCCTGCCGATCTCGGGCTGGAAATCTGGCCATACATTCCCTCATTAGATGCCCTTCTCGACCACATCTAAAGCATATACGTCCCCTCATGTTCTGTCTAAATTGTCGGGTTACTGCTACTGCAGCATGTGATCCAGAAACTACATCATCCATGACATCCCTACAGATTTTCAAAAAGGTAGGGATGTCCTTATGCTGCCATGGTCTAAGAGCTTCCCGACATGTTTTATTGGCCTGCTCATACGCCAATCTTTTGACTAAGGGCATTGCTTCTTCCACGGTTTCGAAAATGTTTCCTGCTGCTTCCATTAATCGGTTCACGAAATCAGCGTAAGGCTCAGTAGGGCCCTGTACTATCTTAGTTAGGCTGTGTCTTACTTCTCCTTTTCTGGGTATCACCTTCCAGGCTCTTCTTACTATTTCCCTCACCTGTAAGAGGACAGCTGTTGGTAATCGGGCCTGCTCATCGGGACTGGCAAATCGCCCTTCTCCATTTAACATTTCCTCATCCCATGCTTGATTCCCTGTTTGATAGTTCTGCTTTGAATATTCTCGCGCAAATTCTTTATAGGCAGCTAGCCACAAGAGGAAGTCACCCCCGCCTAACACCGCCTTTACTAAGTTTCTCCAATCCTCAGGTATTAGGCCTTGCTGCCCGATGTTATCAAGGATTGCCTGAGTGTAACTTGCATGGGGCCCATACAATTGTACTGATTGCTGCAACTCTTTAAGTAATTTATGGTCAAGAGGCGTCCATCCCCTGTTTCCCTGTGGATCCTGAATTACAGGAAACACCTGGCCTGGTTCCTGGTACTGCTCCCAAGCAGGTTTTCTATAAACAGCTCCCCTTTGCTTGTTTTCGGTTCTTGGCCTTTCTAGCTCCTCCTGCATACCTACTCCCTCCATCACTCCTTCTTCCTCCCACTCTTCTTCAATCTCATATGGAAAAAAGGGGCTTTTCTTTACAGGAGGAAACTTTGGTAGTACCAATGGGCGATACCGGGGTGGTGATTCATCCTTTATGGTTGAATTTGCCAGCCTTGTATGGCCAGGATATATTCTTGGCATCTCTCTCGGGGGCGAGGTTCCCTCCTCAGCTTCCTTCTCCCCCCCATAAGCTTCCTGGCTCTCTAAATCCTTCTTTGATTTTCTTCTCACTTGTTCGTTACAATAGTTGCTCGCCTGGCTGCCCTGCCATAATTCTTCCTGCATTTCACTCCCCTCATTAAGCAACAACTCGATCCCTTCCGTGGGGTTCTGAAGCACCTGATCAACGAGTTGCCACAGCTTCAGCACTTCTATCGGTTCCCCAGCCTCGCGCATTTTCCGTCCCACCTGCCTCCACTGCTGTGGAAACCAGGGGGACGTCTCTACGATTGCTCTTACGAATGCATGAATTTTCCTCCCCCCTCGTTTCCCTTGCTTAGAGGAAAAGCTGCGAGGAGGTGGGGAGTAGGAAGAGAGAGAGAAACCATATTTAGCCCATAGATGATCTTTAGGGAGAAACAGAGGATGGTGCCCAGCAGGAGGAAGAGGTAGCCAGTGGGCAAAGAGTAGCCAAAGAACTCCATTGTCTGTACCGTCTGTGACATGTTGGAGCAGTGGGCGCAATGGAAGACTGAGTCTCCCAGACGTTCCCAGTTAATACCTCCTTCCTAGCTTCTAATTTTCTTCCCCCGCGGCTTTTTTCCTAGGTTCTGACTAGCTTTTCACCGGCACTCTTTCCGTCCGGCCTTCCCCTAGGCTCTTTGCTAGTCTCTCTCTCCAGTAATTTCCCACTTCTTCCCGGTCTTTCCCTCCTAGGTTTCCTATCCGAGTCACGGCACCACTTGCTGCTCCTCCGCACGCGGAGGAGCCGCACCGGACCGGGCGCTTGTTGTTCCCTTTTTTTACAAGTCCTTTCAATAGTAAAGTAAGAATAAGTAAACAGCAAACTCCCAAAGCAAGAATGAGTAGAGAGAAATGAGAACGAAGTAACGAACTTCCCCGCGAACTCTCCAACGCACTCTCCAACCAACCCACACCACCATGCCGTCTCTCTCCTCCTATATAGTCCTCTCCACCAATCCCAACTCGGCTGCCCACACGCCGAGCACGCCGCTCTCCTCCAATCAGGAGCAGCTCCTGCAGCTTGTCAAGTTGGTGAGAGGCAGCTGGGTAGAAGCTGTTTACTTCTCTCCCAGCGCCATATTGTGGGAGAGCAGATGCATAGAATAAGTCTTAATTCCAGTAACAGTATAGTCCGAATTGCTCCCCACAGTAAGTACACAGTGACTCCTGATGTTGACTTAACAAATTGACACTCTTGTTTATGGAGTCAGAAATCTCTCTAGGCTCTAGTCATGAGTTGCCAAGGCTCTGGAAGCCTCTTGAGTTCGCTGACTTCTATCTTATTTAGACAAGGTCATAGTGAAAGTGGAAGTTCTCTCCTCCCTTCAGAGAAAGGTACCTCCTTCTTTAATGGCCTGTTCTTTTTACCGGGATCTCGCTCGCAAAGAGCTTTCATTTAAGTCCTTTTTTTTTTTTTTTTTTTTTTTTTTTTGCCGAGAGTCTTTGGCTTTCCATGCCTAAAATACTTTCATGGGCTCTTCAGCCAGATCCAAGTTCCTTAAGGGCTGATTCTGGGGCCAGAGTGCTCTTTAGGAATCTGCCATTCTATTAGTCTGCTGTGTATCCCACTTCCTATGCTGGATTGTTCTCTCCCTTTTTTATTCTATCCGGTAGTATTAGCAGACACTAGTCTTGTTAATGTGATCCCTTTGACTCTTAGACCTATCAGTGTGATCAATTGTGAACTGAAATTGATCACTTGGACTAGTGAGATGGCATTGGTACATGCCACCTTAATTGGATTGTATTGGAATCCCCTGGCACATTTCTAACTCTTCCATTTGGTACAAGTCCAATTGAGCATGCTAAATTTTATTTTATTTTATTTTTTTTTAACTTTTATTTAATGAATATACGTTTCCAAAGTACGAATAATGGATTACTATGGCTTCCCCCCCATACCGTCCCACCCACAACCCTCCCCTTTCCCACTCCCTCTCCCCTTCCATTCACATCAATCTTCTGTATATAAAGAGAATTGAAAATGAATCTTGATGTGAATGGAATGGTAGAGGGAGCATGAAATGGGAGGGGTGTGAGTGGGAGGGAAGCTATGGGGGGAAGAAGCCATTGTAATCCATAAACTGTACTTTGGAAAATTATATTTACTAAATAAAAGTTAAAAAAAAAGAATTCAAAAAAATAAAGTTTAGCAACTTCTAAAACAAACAAACAAACAAACAAACAAAAAATCATAGCTCATATCACACCCAAGAATTCACAATAGGGAGAAACTTCATGAATGCAATGACTGTAGAAAAGCCCTTGGCAATAAGTCACATCTCAGAATGCATCAGAAAATGCACAGGAAATGCACTTGGAAAGCTTTTTCCCATAATTCAGCCCTCATTGCACATTATCTAATTCATATGGGGGAAAACACTTTGGATATAATGCATATGGAAAAGCCTTTATCCATAAGTAACACCTCATAAAACACCAGAATTCACATGGGGGAGAAAGCTTATGAATGGAATTTAATGAATGTGAAAAAATTTTTCTGCCATCAATCAATTCACATGAAGAGACTCCGAAATGAGAAAACATACATGCATAGAAAAGTCATGTACCATACGTCACACCTCAATGGTTACCTGACAACTCACAGAAAGAAAAAATTCTATGACTGTATTATCATGGGAAATACCTTTATTATTAGGCAAACTTCCACAAAACATAGCAAGATTACAGAGAGAAGTCCCTGAAATATAATTTGTGTGGAAGAATTCTTTGGTGGAATCACACCTTAGTGAGTATTGGGCAGTTTTCATGATGAATTGTGACAAAGAGTGGTTAACCGTTCTTCAGAAATTTTTCTCTTATTCAACCTGAACTTTTGGTTTCTCATTATTGTAAGTGGGATCAAGTGTATGAACTGAACTGTGCTCTCTTGTGTAAATTTTGTTAATAAATATTTAAAAGTTGAGTAACAGTTATTTCAACAGTTATTTGGAATACCATCTTCATCAATTACAAAGTTATTTGTTTTATAGCTGCTTTGTTGGCCACCCAGGATTCTTTCCCCACATTATTGTAGTGCAAACCAGTGATGTGACCATAGGCATATCAAGTGACACATGTTCCAGCCATAATAGTGTACCCTGGCCCTGGATAATAAATGTTGTGTGCAACACAAGGGAATGAGTTTGTGGTGACTTATATACCCATGAGAAATTTCAACTAATCTGTGTGCACATCTGGATTAGACTCCACTACCCAAGGTCTATTTGAAGATGCAAGTAGATGTTGCCACACACATTACCCTCATTCTTTAAAGGGACAACCTCAAACCCTATAAGTTGCAACATTCATCTGAATTTTCCTGTATTACTGAGTGTATAATACCTTTTTCATTCATGATGCCACTTTTCTACGCTTTTTCATTCTATTCCTAATTGCCTTGAGACAAGAACATGGAATGAAGTCTATCCAGGTGGTACCCATTGCAATAGAGAAGCAGGAGCATAAGTGTAGTATTTTTTTTTAAAAAAGATTTATTTATTTGAAAGAATTACACAGAAAGAGCAGAAACAGAATTTTCCATGCAATGGTTCACTCCCCAATTGGCCACAATAGCCAGAACTGTGCTGATCCAAAACCAGGAGCTTCCTCCAGATCTCCCATGTAGGTGCAGGGATCTAAGCACTTGGGCCTTCTACTATTTCTCAGGCCATAGCAGAGAGCTAGCTTGGAAGTGGAGCAACTGGGTCTCGAACCAGCACCCACATGGGATGCCAGCACTTCAGGTCAGGGCATTAACCTGTTGTGACACAGTGCTGGCCCCTGTAGTACACTTTTGTATTAATTTAACATAATTTTTATAACCTTTTTTTGTTGCATTATTCCCTGCTTCTGCAGGTGGCCCTGATTTTTATTGAAAATGTGTGTTTTTATTTCCAATTTACAAAGTCCTTTCTGGATTAATATAAATCTGATTTACATTCAGTTTGTTCCTCAGGATACCCTCAGGAGGAACACTTTTCCTAGGTTGCTTGGCTATCCCATGATAACAGGGCTACAAATGCTATGATGCATCTAGCTTCAGTAGCTCTTTTATTTCCCATCTAGATAATAGCTGTGCAACTAATCCATTCCACCTCCATTACTACCCATGAGAAATAGCTCTTCATCCCTGTTTAAGTCCCCACAGCTTCTTACAAATGTTCATCAAATTAAATCTTACTATAAACAGATTTAATAGAAAATGAATGATGTAGCTGCTGGTAGTTTCAGTGAGGTTGAATGATTTGCTGGACTACTGTTTTGTCTGGGTTATCTTTCATATTACTTAGAACTAATTTTTCACAATATTACTTGCCTGAGCACTTTTTCCTAGGCTCCCAGCTAAACAGGTATTTGAAGACTAGATTTACTGTTAATTCTCACTAAGGACAGAGGTCCCACATTGAGAGCACAGATCCTTAAGTGGTCCTTGGGACATAGTGAATGAATATTATACCCACTTGATTTAGTACTCAGGCACTGGTCTCCATTGAAGAGAAGAACTCAGCTGAACAGAATATAACTCCCTTCCAATTAAAAAAAGATTTACCATGCCAAACCTGGGTGTGTCACCTTAGGCATACCCTTTATCCTTGAAAACTGAACAGAGCTCTCTGGCCACACCCACTACAAGTCTCTAGAGATTTGGTGAAAGCAGAAAGTCCATTTATCTACAGTCATAATACAATGATAAAAATTGCCAGAAAAAAAAAAAGTATTTCCACAAATGCCAAATGCAAGAATCCAAGAAGGAAGAATAAGGAAAACATCATCATGCTCCCAAAAGAACATGACAGTTCAATACTAGGTCATGAAGATGATGAGAGACGAAATGCAAGAAATAGAACTCAAAAATTTGGTCATAAGATTACATAGAAGTAATCAAGAGCAAATGCACAAACTACTGAAATCCATGAAGGACATGAAAGAAAATCTCTCCCATGAAGTAAAAATTATCAGGAGGAATCAAGATGAAATGAAGAATTCAACAGAACATGAAACTGAGATATTAAAAAGAAATCAAAATGAAATGAAGAATTCAATATAATAAAAAATGCAGTGGAGAGCCTTAGAAATAGAATCAGTGAGGCAGAAGAGAGAATACCAGACTTAGTAGACAAAGTACAGGAAAGTATACAGTCAAACCAAACACAAGAAAAGGAGATTAGAAATCTAAAAAAGACTGTTGGGATATACAGGATACTATATATATATATATATATATATATATATATATATATATATAAAGACTCTCCATGTGGGTCCACCATGTCCCTCTCATGTCAGTAGAATTTCCTCTGTCATTTTTTCCCTAACTCTTCCCTGAGACTACTCTATTTCCACTTTTTTAAAACTATCTTCTCCTGGGCTAGAGCAGTAAGCTCCCTCCCAACTCTACCATCCAATTATTAGCCCATCTCTATATGATTATGACTCTGTTTCTGCCAAATTACTAATTTATACACCATATAATCAAAATTAAATGCCTTCCATGGAATGCATATTTATTTTGTCATTTACTACTATCACCTGCATGTGTAATGAATAACCTGATTTGTGACATTCCTAACACAGGGAAATGATGGGTACCATGGTTTGATTTATAATTGTGTGGTCATCAACTCACTCTAAATGCTGGAAGTTGTCCCAGCAATTGTCATGTGTATAGGATTTGAGTACATTACAGTGCCAGCACCATCATGGTCATCAGCATAGGATACATTCTTAATGTTTCTAGATGCTCCTGGAACTGTAAATTATTTTCTGATTGTGGAAATTTTCCAAACTGCAAGTCTGTATCATACTGTAATTTTTCCAGTTTATTCCGGACTGTTTTTTCACCAAATATTCATCCGCATATTTATTTTTTAATTATGGCTCACATTAAAAGACACATTGTTACTAAGGGCAAGGCAAAGTTTTAACTTCCATGTGCATCAGGTTTCTATTTTTTATTTTGTCTTTCATTTTATTAATTTCATCTGAGTATGTCAATATCCACATGGAAAGCAATCTTAGCACTGCCAAGGTATGATTCTTTTGGGCACTTATATTTTCATATCATGAATGCACTAAATAATGTTCAAGTTGTCTTAGCAACCTCCATCTTTATGGCCTATCAAATAATTTTAGAGCATTACATTTTTTTTTTTTTGCATTACATTCTTTTACACTTTCAAGGACACTTTTTTATAGCTTCTTTATATTTCAAGAATCAAAATTGTCATTCTCTTTAAAATTTCCATGCATTGGATCGAGACAATTTTATCTTGGTTTTAAAATTACTGAATTCAATGGCATAAGCTTTCTTTGATTTAAGAGAGGACAAATTTTCTGTATTTAAATGTGTATTTAGGGCTATTTTTATTAATATCTGTTACATCTCCTTGTAACCTTATTCCTGCTTCTACTATATTTACCATTTGTACACACAACTGTCAATATATTGAAATGAATACATGTCTCTATTTTTCATGTTTATTCAAATTTATTATTACCACCTCAATAAATAATAACCTGATTTGTGCCAATTCTAGTGCAGGGAACTTCAGGCTACCATTAGAGGTTGGTAGACTTGGAGACACAGAGAAACAAAGATTATGAGCTACAACTTGGTGGCTTATTCTTCATTCTTGTAATGATCAGAAACTGAATTATTACAGAAATCTGAGCTATTCTTTTCTGATGACAAATACATTATAAAAATTTCAAAATGTTGCTCTCTATATTACAAATTATATATATGTACTTTATATTGTCATAAACACACACTATATATTATATATAAACACCTTTAAAATTCTCCTTGTCATTGGTATAAATGTTTTGAATTTTAAATATTTACTTTTAAAATTTTATTTAATATAAGTTTGATATATTTCATATATACAGACTAATGAATGTAAGTGACACTTTCCCCGATACCCTCTCTCCCACACACACTCCAACCCTTTCTCCTCTTCCCTCTCACATTCCCACTTAATTTTACAAAATCTGTTTTGAGTTTACTTAATGATTGTATAGTTAACCCTACACTAAGTAAGAGTTCAACAAGTCAGCGAATAGTATGAAGAAAAAAAATAAATTAAAAAAAAATCACTGTTCCTCAATGGAAGAGACAAGGGCTGTAAACAATCATCAAATCTCAAAATGTGTATCTAACTCCAATACATTACATTTTAGGTACTCTATTAGCTACCTCAGATCAGGGAAAACATATGATATCTGTCTTTTGGGGACTCATTTATTTTACTAAGTATAATGGTTTCCAGTTTCATCTATCTTGTTGCAAAAGACAGGGTTTCTTTTTCTTTCTTTTTTTTTAATAACTGAGTAGTATGCCATAGTGTGTATATACCATAATTTTTTTTATCAATCAACGATTGATATCTGGATTGTTCCCAGATCTCAGCTATTGTGAATTGTGCTGCAATGAACATAGGGTTATAGATAACTCTTGCATATGCTAATTTCTTTTGGTTTGGGTAAATTCCAAGGAGTGGGATTGCTGGATCAAATGGTAGGTCTATAATCAAATTTGTAAGATATCTCCATACGGTCTTCCATGGTGGCTTGCACCAGTTTACTTACATTCCAACCAACAGTGGACCAGGGTAACTTTTTTCCACATCCTCAGCAGTTTTGTCATTTGTTGATTTCTTTCTTTCTTTCTTTCTTTCTTTCTTTCTTTCTTTCTTTCTTTCTTTCTTTCTTTCTTTCTTTCTTTCTTTCTTTCTTTCTTTCTTTCTTTCTTTCTTTCTTTCTTTCTTTCTTTTTTTGACAGGCAGAGTTAGGCAGTGAAAGAGAGAGAGACAGAAAGTCTTCCTTCCATTGGTTCACCCCCAACAAATGGCCACTACGGCTGGCGCTGATCTGAAACCAGGAGCCAGGTGCTTCCTCCTGGTCTCCCATGCAGGTGCTATTCTTTCTTCCCTATTTCTGACCCTTAAAACTGTTCCAAATTATGGGATTTGATTCAATGCACCAGGTCTTAAATTTAAGGTTTTATTTCTGACTTTCGAACAACCAAAGAGACAGATTTTGTGTTAAAGTAATCTATTATGTTCTCTTAATGCCTCTTAAGTTCTAATTGTTTAAAACAACTGAGTTTTAAATGAGTTATGATTTGATCAAATCTGGTCTATACTTTGTTATGATGTTAAGGGATCTTATTTCAACCAGATATTTTAAGCCTTCTTGTCATCTTTTACAGGCATTCAAAAAAAATCAAAGTTCCAAAGAATTTGGACTTTGATATTTCCAGTTGGGTTCCTGGAAATGTCAAAGGATATATGTCTCTCATCTTGGAGAGGCACCAACTAATCAATCAGGCTATTTGGGTTATATTACAGGTACTGTTAAAATGTGAAGTCATGCTAAATTTTAAGTTTTGATAATATAAAATGCCACTGATACAAATGTCTGAAAGTTAAAAAGTCTAATGATCTTGTGTTACTAGACATAATGGTTATCTTAATGAGAAAGGCCCAGAGGCCTAAAAGAATTAAATGTTTTGTAAAATCCTACAGGTGATTTTGAAAATACTGTGTAAAGTAAGCAAATGCCTCTTGTTGGTTAATGAGTTTATCATTTTGAACATAGCTATTTAAAGTCTTTTCTCATCCACAGTTTTGTATATCAGATTTGGCTGCTCTAAACTAAAACATTGTTGGTTCTGTGTTTAGCTGCCCTCCTATAGGTTCTGATGGATTTTTCCCAGCCACTTCTATTGAATTCAGTAATTTTGAATTGTTCTGTAAACAGATGAAGTGAATAATGCACTACAGGTTCCTGTCGCTCCCCCTCTTCGTTGAGGAATGACACAGGACCCTGCGTTGTTCTTTCGTCTGCTCGGCCCTCCCCAGGTTTGCTGCTGGTTCTTCCTGGGTTGGCTACCGTCCCTTCCACCTCTGTGGAAGGGCGATTCCCCCTGCCACTTTCCCCACTTCCGCGGGGGAGCGGCACACCGCCAGCCGGCTCTCTCGGGGGCTGCTCAGGTATTCCTCATAGATGTTCCTGGTGCATGTTGTCTCTCTCCTCCTTTATAGTCCTCTTCCACCAATCCCAACTCGGCTGCCCACACGCCGAGCACACTGCTCTCCTCCAATCATGAGCAGGTCCTGCTGTTTATTGGTTGAACTGGAGGCAGTTGTGTAGAAGCTGTTTCCTCCTCTCCCAGCGCCATATTGTGGGAGAGCAGATGCATAGAATAAGTCTTAATTCCAGTAACAGTCTAGTCCGAGTTGCTCCCCACAGTTCCAACTGGAAGAAAGTATGGTTAATCAAGTTTACCAAGAACAGAAAGTAATTTTAATTGGTTGATAATAAAACAGCTAAAGATGTTAGGAAACTATTACTAAAACTGCTTTATTGTTCTATCTTGTATGTTGTGTTATGTGTGTGTTCATATCGTATGTATACATGGGAAAATTTATTTTGAGCTCTGTCTTACTTGGTTTGTAAAGGAAAGATTACTCATAAATTTAATAGCTAAAATTAATTGAAGATACATTTGATTCATGTGACCTGAATCTCTTTGTCAGATGTTTTAAATTTGTTGATAGAAAAAGGAACTAAAAAATGTTTTATGTTTCTGTTTGCTGTTTAAACAAGCCTCATCATGTTAGATATTTAAGATATATTTAAATACATGTATTCTTAAAATTTATAGAAGGCATTGGACCTTCCAGTAAATATTTTATAGGCTATTATTTAATGGTTAAAACCACTTGCTAAGATTCCATTTGACGTTGTCTGTGGGCATTCTGGCAAGCCTGACTTGCTCCCACATTTCTCTATTCTCTTTAAGATGGGACACTGACTCTGTCCTGAGGGATTCCTCAAGATGTAGTTTGATTTTTTGATCTTATGAAAGGAGTGACTAACATATTCTGTGTAACAACATAGCCAAAATGAGAGCTTAAATCATAATTTCACAGCTGGATTTACTTCACCATGGGATTCCAAATCCCCTTGGGCTAGATGGTGAAAATGACATCTTAACTTTTAATATATTTATATATGATTAAGTTTAAAAGTGACTGTATTTGATTGCATTAAGTTTTAAATTGGTCATATAGGAGGCACTAATTGTTAAAGTGATCATATCAATAGAATTAATAGAATTAAAGAGGAGTAAAGGCTTCAACATGGGAAGCAGTCCATACAGCAGACTCAAAGAATGGCAATTGCTCTAAGTAACACTCAGTGACCTCAGAGTCATCCCTAAAGGCATTCTGGACTGGCTAAAAAGCCCACAAGAGCATTTCAGGTGTGGAAAGTTAGGACACTTATGCAAAAAGGTGTGCCTACATGGAGAGTCTCCCTGGGTGAGACTCCTGTGGAAAGAAGTGGTCATCAAAGAAGGATGTACTCTCTTCAAAGGGAGAACTTTCACTTTGCTTACGGCCTTCTCTAAATATTGATGGAGTTTGTGGATTCAGAAGGCTTCCATAGCCTAGACAGCTCATGTCAAGAGCCTTGGGTGATCACTGACAGAACACAAAAGAGTGTGAATTGTTAAATTAACCATAGGAGTCACTGTGCACTAACTTCCCATGCAGGACCTTAAGACTATGCTTAAAAAACAGAGGAGAGAGTACGGTACCCCCACTATGAGTGTGTTAACTTTGCTCCTTTCACCATAAAGTTCTTACCGGTCTCACCCCCTGGAGAGCCACCAGCAGAGAAACACTGGAGACCTCTCACAGGTGCAATCCAATTGCCTCTGGTTTGATGGAGGGACCTAACCACCCAACAATGGAAGGGGCCTGATCCCCTCATAATTATGGGCAAAGGTTTTGCTTGTGCTTTCCAGAGATTACTCTGCAGCCTGTGTGTATAGCAGCCTGAAATGCCAAACCCTGGACCCAGTCTCTGAAAGCTGACCCTCTACAAACCAACTTCAGCACCTTTCCCTGAACAAGCCATTCATAGAAAGATCCTCTTCAGATGCTACAGCTTAAATGGAAGGGACCTTACCAGGTGCTACTAAACATGACTACCTCAGTAAAATTAGGATTAAATGTCTACCTCTCAAGTCCTCACAGGTGTACTCAAAAGACATGCCTGATTATTCCTGTAAGCCAGAGATCTTAAGCAAAAAGAAAAGTAGAGCCTTTGCTTTCCTCACATCACGAGTGCTGCGCCTGAAGGCAGGCATGGTGTACCTGCCTCTTTGATTCTCCCTGTTATGAACAATAAAACTCCTAATGTGTTCTTCTAACATAATACTCTATACTCAAGCTAAATAGGTTTATAATGTATCACCACCCACTATCTGGGAGTCTAGGATGTGGTCTTTTAATCTTAAAGGGGCACTCCACTTAAAATTGGTCATGTTCCAGTTTGGCTCATACTAATTAACAAACTTATATGTTCCAGAACTCAACAACTTCTGGGAGTCACTGACCATGCAGGGGACACAGACATTGGTGGTAACCAAGATTGCTCCAGCTCACAAAGAGAATTTGTTAGATGAGATAGGCAGAGCCTTCCAGACTGAGGACAGGCAGGGCCTGCACTACATCCCTCATAAACAGGAAGCAGCTATAGAAGATGTGATGATTCTACACCCTTCAACATCCCTAGGATTAAGGGAATGGAGTCTCTGAAGGGGGAATGATGCAGGCAGTCATATATCATTAGATGAGAGCTGGAAGGCTACACCTTCATCACACTGTTCCCAGCCCCCGTGTGATCTCATGCCCCTGCTTTCCCATACCTGTGCACTGCTGCCAATTACAAAGGCCTGAAACATGGTGGGCCTGGCCTTTTTCCCTTTGCCCTTCTTTTCCTCCCTGCCTTAATCTCCGTGCTCGGCGTTCTTCAATTTAATTTAAAGCTTATTGTGGGCTGCAGCTTGTTGCAGAGTTACACTTGCCCTAAAACAAAGGGGGGAGATGTGGGTGATCCTGTGAGAATTTCTGCCTAGCCCATGTGGCTAGCCTGACTGATGGGGGGAGGTGGGAGCCTCAGGCACATTTTCTCCCAACCCCACCTTCTGCCAATTAGGTAAACTGTTGCTGGGGGTGGTCCAGGCCCACCTGGAAAGCTACCCTAACTATGAGACCTTCAAGCTAATTGGAGATGGATATTGGTGCCAGTGTTGGTTCTATCCTATAGAGTTAGGGTTGCCCTGAATTAGTTACACCCCTTCTGCCTGCCCTTTAAAAGTTTACATGGTGATTAATAAAGGTGGACATATTCACTGAAGCCTGTCCCCGGTGCTTCCTGTGGAAGAACAGCATTGCCTCACTCTCCCTGATGGTGTGGGCCTCACAGGACAAGTCCACAGCTCTTGGCCTGCGCCCTGCTTGGTATGGCCCCTACTTAATTTCCAGACTTTCCTTTCCCCTTTAGATGGAGCCCTCACTCTCCTATGTGTTTCTCTCACTGAATAAAAGCTTAAAAACTCAGCTTATCATCTGGTCTATTTGAGCCAGTATTCAGAATTTGTCTCTGAATTCATGGCAAGAACCCACACAGATTATTAATTTCAGAAATATTAAAAAGTGCTGAAGTCTCAGGGACTAATTATGGAGTCTTTTATTTCTAAAAGCCAGTGGCTGCACAGGGGCATGTGCTCTCCAAATCATACTGCCCTGAAGGAGCTCAAGGTTAAGCTTCTAAAGGCCAAAACCATATCTTGTTGAAGTTAATTACAAAGCCAAGCATTTGTTACAGGAGCTAGAGCAAGCAACATTATGCTTATCTTGGGGATATTAACAAGTTTCCCAGTACTTAATGTAAATAAACTTACAAAAAACCTCTCAGAAGATTAGTTTTTGAGTAGCTAGCAGTTGTGGGACTGGTTAGAAACAAATAGAGGACAATCAGGGACAAAATGGAGTGACTCTGGTCAGGCCATAGCTCGTTTGCCCTTGAAAATCAGTAAAACTTAGCCTGAGGATCTGCAGCACCTCCTGCATGGACCCAGAGGCCCCTCTGACTTTGACCACCTTGACCTCAGCATGACCCCGGCATGGCTCCCCATTCTCTGTTACAGGAAACTGGGTTGCCAGCATCACTGCAGAGAACAAGGACAGTCCCACAGTGGCGGTGGTGGAGCCTGGAGCTGGAGTCTCTACAAGGGGCAAGGACCCATGGCAGTGTGGCCAGGAGTTCCCCATGTCTCACAGAGGACAGTGAGTGTGCCTCTGGTGGACTTCCTATTGCAGGCAGAGGATTGCTCACTTCAGGACTGGTTACCACGTGAATCATGCTGGCTGTGAGGCCTTAGTTCCATACAAAACTTGGCTCATCCCTTGGCTGCCTAGAATTAATCTGAGACATGGCCAAGCAGGCCCCACAGCACTGCTTAGTGCATGGCATGGCCTCAGTCAGCAAGGATAGTGTCAACATAAAGAAGGCACACCACTGCTGCTGAGCCATGCCCCCAAAAGCACTTGTCTGTCCCGATGTCTGAACACCAGTCTGTTTTCATAATCAATTTCATTTTGACAGAGCCGGAGCCGGAGCGCCGCACTGCTCCGAAGGCAGGAGCCAGGTGATTCTCCTGGTCTCCCATGGGGTGCAGGACCCAAGCACTTGGGCCATCCTCCACTGCATTCCCGGGCCACAGTAGAGAGCTGGCCTGGAAGAGGAGCAACCGGGACAGAATCAGCACCCCGACCGGGACTAGAACCCGGTGTGCCGGTGCCGCAAGGTGGAGGATTTGCCTAATGAGCTGCGGCGCCAGCCAAACTCATGTGTTTTACAACAGTATAGGCTCCTTGGTGGTCTTTGGGGACAATTGAACTGGGCATAACATGTCATACAAAAAATTTTATTGCTAAAGGAAATGAGCTCACAAATCATGTGGTCCATTAGCATTGAATAACACATCCTGTTTCAACAGCCTGAACATGCAGATGAATATCTGTGAGATGGGATAACTTCAGTCAGAGTAAAGTTAAGTTTCAAGATAAAGTCTGGGACCTGGCACTGTGGTGTAGTGGCCTAAGCCTCTGCCTACAGTGCCGTAATCCCACATGGG